TTTTTTTTTTTTTTGGAATTATAGAAGTGTGCAAAAATTATAAATGTACAAGAACAATAAAGTTGGAGGTTATGCCATATTTTAGGTGTATGTCCGAATAAGCGGTCTACGTTTTATCCCTAGCTGTAAACACACAGAGAGATTAACGGGTGCGGGTAAAAATAGGTATCATCAGTACGCACTTCTGCCAGTCGCCTGAAAAGTAATCTTATTGGTAAGATCGATTTGCAGAGAATATATTCATAACATGTGTTTGCTATTTAGATTTTGTCGTTGTGGTGAGCAGTGCAAATATAGATTCCCTGGCTGCCGATGTGCACCGGGAATGTGCCGTACAAAGCAGTGCCAGTGTTTCTATGCAAATTGGGAATGTGATCCGGATGTTTGCAAATCATGCAAAAGTGGTACGTTCGACTCAACAAGCTTCTTTAGATGTCCTGACCACTTGTAGCACTTTGAATTTTTATGGATTGCTCTTCGAAAAGTAAAAGTCACAAAATGAAATTAGTGATAGCGAGAAGTAAATGTGATCAAATGCCAGTGAGATGCGCTTGAGTTCCAGCCGCTGCTATTAAACAACAGCGACGGACAAACACAGGCCAAGAAAAGGAACGTATAAGGAAAGCGGACATCTAGAGCCATATACTGAACCGAAATGTTGGTTGGTGACAAAAAAGAAATAACGCAGGTCTTGCCGTGAGTGCCTATGAAGCCTCATCTGACAGCAGTTTGGGATTTCTCGAAGAAATCAAATGGAATTGATGTACGGATGAGTGAAAACGGAATTCGTATAAGCCAAAGTGGCATGCATCATTGAGCGAAATCTCTGTGGTGGAAGAATAAAAGTCAATAAAGGATTTCTTCTCAATCGCTTACTCGGAATTACAATTTGAATTACGTCATTTGATACTCCTTGAAATGGAGAAATAACATGTTTAATTGTTATGCAACTGGACCAGAATATAAGAGAGCGGATGGAAAGTTGATTTCGCAGCTTAGATGGCTCAAGCAGTAAATTGGATTGGCGCTCCAGTAGCGCAAGTGGATCCTTAAAATTGGCGCACCAGGCGCAAATAGATTCTTTAAATAAGCGCTCAAGACACACTTTGTAGGAGAACCTTTGAGAAATTGGGAAGCGCACAGTCCCGTAAGGAGTTAGTGCGGAAAAGCGGTATAATGGTTGA